AAACAACATCCTGGGGCTCCTTTGTCTCTACAACAAGCAGCAAAGTGTTGGACCTGCTAGGGCAGGCTTGAGGAGACTTGGAGTGGAAGCTACTTTGGAGAGGTGTGGTAGTTACAGCTGCAGAGAAAAGCAGTAATTCCCACTCACTTCGTCGCTGTTCTAATCCCCAAAGTTTGCACTGATCCCCTCCACCCCTCAAAGCCTGGAGACACAAGGAATCAATCCCCTGCAAGGCCTTGTGCTACTGAGCACAAGATTCAGTTTTGCCTATGCTGGAGAAACACTGTGACCCATCTGGCTGCACTCAGCCAAGTCGAGCAGACATGATTCTCAGTGTGTCTCGCACACAAGGATCTTCTTCACACACCCCCCAGCACTGTCTGCCTTCTTCTAACACCATGATATTGACTCAGGAGTAGGCAATTTTCTGCAAAATTGCTCATCTTATATTATCTTCACTACTAATCACCTCCCAAAATGAAGGAGAAACATTTTAATCTAATAATAAAAAGCACATAAAACATCTGTATCTTTTAGCTACCGATCTTAGGCTTTACCACATCATATTTCAGAGGTCTAAATTACATGGAAGTGCCTCATTAAGTTTTCCCATTAAGAAATACGATTATGAGATCAATTTGTTCATTCAGTAGTGTCCATAGCCTGGATTAAATATATATATATATTTTTAAAAGATGCTTGTGAAGTTAAAAAGAAGTATCTTCAAATTATTCTTTTCCCTTGTAACGTTATGTTCTTTGAATGTGTACATGTTCAGTAAGAGCAAAGAAAAACATCTACAGAGTGCATACATAATAACTCTACAGCATGTCTGCCCATCACATCCATTTCACCTCCCCTCCCTGCCATTCCCTCCCTCTAACAGATACTCATAACTCTTCTATCTCAGACTCTCCTCTATTCTTATTAATGCTGTGTTTCAACTAATTTGAAAAGCAGACACCCAAATGATACAACAAATTAAGTTATGAGAAGGCAAATCTGCTCTCTATGCAGGGCCTGAGAACAGATTCGAGAGCCTGCTCAATGTTTAAGGATAAGCCTGACTCAATGCAATCACATGTTTTTAAAAGCTGAAATATTTGCTTTAAATGAGCATGACCATAGGAAACAATTTCTGTAATTTCAGCCTTTTAAATACCTTTCCTGGCGTAATTTCATTGCCTCACTTTCTACCTTACATACATCTCCTGAGGGGTTCTGCGTCATTAAAAGCCCCGAAGTCACAGACACATTATATGTATCACCAGTGAATAGCTTGAAAAGTCTGGAAAAGAAAGAAAGAAAACAAGAGATGTTTATTTGCAGGGCAGCTGCTGAGGAATAACCTCTGTGACTAGCCGTGGCTTGTGGCTGCTGGCCAAGCAGCCTACAGCCATCGCCACGCTGTTCTGCAAGGCAAAATAACCAGGCTGTGGTTACACAAATAAGACACACACTGTGGGCATAGAAATAAACACTGAGGTGTAATAATAACGACCCACAAGCCGTCCTGGCACGCTGGTAGGTTGAGTTCTGGGACAGGTTGGGACAGGCATTGTGGGCACAGGAGGACCCGTCCTGCTGGTCAGGGTGGTTCTGAGGTGCGTGGCAGAGCGGGAAGCAGGAGATGAGGGCAGGGAGGCAGGATGAGGTGCAGGGATAGAGGGTCCATCCAAGGTGGGTGGGGGTGAGGGGCAGCTGGGAGCACTTGGCTGGGGTGGGTGAATGGAACAAGCAGGAGTTAAAGTGCAGTTTAGTACCTGGCAGGAGACTGTGCTCTGGCCAGGAAATGGTGCAGCCTCCTCTGCCTTGTTTTAATAGGTTTTAAAACCATTTACATTATTTGAAGCTGTTGTTTTTTTTTTTTTTTTTTATTTGCCTGTCTGATGCCCTTGTTTACCCCATGCCATCACCCAAGGCGGTGGAAGAGCATTAAATCTTCCCCTGTACCTGACACTGGTGAGGCCACACCTCGACTCCTGCATCCGGTGTGGGGCCCTTCAATTTAGGAAGGACACTGGGGGGCTGGAGCGAGTCCAGAGAAGGGCAGCAGAGTTAAGGAAAGATCTGGAGCAAAAGTCTGATGAGGAACAGCTGAGGAAGCTGCAGGTGTTTAGCCTGGAGAAGAGATTCAGGGGGGACCTTATCACTTTCTACAGCTCCCTGAATGGAGGTTGTAGCCAGGTGGGGCTCGGGCTCTTCTCCCCAGTAACAAGGATGAGAGGACATAGTCTTAATCTATGCCAGGGGAGGTTTAACTCGAACATAAGGAGGAAATTTCTTCACAGAAAAGGTGATTAGGCACAGGGATGGGCTGCCCAGTGATGTGGTGGAGTCACTGTCCCTGGAGGTGTTTAAGGAAAAACTGGGCATGGCTCTTAGTGCCATGGTGTAGTTGAGAAGGTGATGTTTCATTACATGTTGGACTTAATGATCTCAAAGGTCTTTTCCAACCTGATTGATTCTGTGATTCTGTGATTCTGAGTCAGCTCCATCTCAAGGGAAATATTATTTTTCAGACTTTCAATTAACTATGAGTTTTTGTGATATTTTCAGTTCATTTGTAGAACTCGTAGCATTTATACATATAAGAGAATTTACATGACGAAAATAAATCCTTAAAAATACTTAATTGTATAATTATAGGCATAGGAAACAAAAATAAACATTTAGTGTGGAAAATGTCTTTGAGGCATTTAACTGTGGTTAAATGTTTATTTCTGTCTATTAAGATGGATGGTCAATTTAAGTTTATATGAAAATAGAAAAATGTAAAATCATTACTGTTCAACGTGATTCTTGTGAGATTAAAATTATTATTAGCAAACTGATTATAAACTGATTATAAACCACAGTGGCTCCACTGCTTATCTTTCTAAACTAAAAAACATAACCTTGGAAATCTATTCACGATCTCAAATCTTGATTTATATATATATTTACTGCAACTCACAGCATCAAATGCCTGAAGCTGGCAGAATGCCTCAAAAATACAACAGTTTAAGCAAATCCTATTCTTCACCTCCAGCCATCTCTGCCTCTATCCCATGATCATTTTTTTTTCTGAACAAGCTTCTAAAGCAACCTGGAAACTAACTTTTTTCAATTTGAATAGCAGGGATTTCTTTTCCATAAGCCACTATAAGCAGTATAAGAACAAGTAAATTCTTATTCCTTAAAACCTTCTCAAACACACCAACCTGTCTTTTGGCATCTTGCAGGTGCCCTTTCAGGTATGAAACAGCCAAATTACACTGAGCTTTTTTGGTTAGAGGTAGTACATGAAATTTTACCTTGTATCCCATAGATACTTAGATATTGATAATCTATTCATGGAGCTCAGAAATTTTTCTGTGACTGAGGCAGAATCTGCATTTAAATGGTATATGCCTGAAAGTCACCAGGTTCAGCATCAAGTTGCTCTGTTGGTAGTTTGTTCCAGTGGTCAGTCAGGCTCACAGCTGTGTCTTACGTATTTGAATCCATACATTGCTCTTAAACCTTCCTTCACTAACTTTAAGAGCTTTTTCATGCCTTCTTTTTTTTTTACCCTCTGTAAAAGCACTCATGTGATATGGCCAAGTCACCACCTAGTGTTCTTCTCTTGCTAAGTTTGAGCTACTTACATATTTGACCTTGCAACTATTTTAAGCACATTTTTCAACACCTCTGGCAGTTCTTCAAGGCACCTTTTTCAGTATTTCAACATCCCATAAAGAGTGTGGGGTCAAAAACTGTATGATGATCGCGCTGCTCTGCAGGGCTGAGGAGTGGCAAAGTGGCACAGTGTTGCAATATAATTAACTTTTAGAAGGCCTTGGAGAGTTTTAAAGAGTTATGCCTGATGCAATAGACTGGGACCAGGTAAGTTGTACTGGATTAATTCTGCATTATATTGATATGCTTTCTTCACTTCAGTGTGGCCCCCTCACATTGCGGGGTCACAATTCCACACCGGGACCCCGCTGTCCTCCCGCTGGAGGCATCTCCTGGGATCCCCTCTGAGGCCTCTCTGAGAGCCACCCGCGTGCAGGCAGGCTGGGGGTGGTGTCTCGGAGGTGTCACACAGGAGGTGACCCTCGGGAGCTATGGAGGGGATGGCAGTGAGACAACCATCTCCCTCAATCAGCTGGTGATGCTTTGCGTGATGCCAGCCGTGTTCCTGGGGTGCCCGAGGCAAAGCATCGCCAGCCGGGCGAGGGAGGGGATTGTCCGGTTCTGCTCTGCACGGGGGCGGCCTCGCATTGAATAGTGTGCAGTTTTGGGCACCACGATATAAAAATTTTGGGCATCAAGCTACTAGAGAGCATCCAAAGGAGCGTGGAGATGGTGAATGGTCTGGAGGGGAAGCCTCATGAGCAGCGCCTGAGGGCACTTGCTGTGTTCAGCCTGGGGGAGACTGAGGGGAGACCTCATCGCAGTTGGAGCTCGTTAGCCCTGTAAGGCAATCCATCTACGTCCTGAGGACCTCGCTGCCACCGTCCAAGCTTGCTTGGCCCCGGCAGATGAACATGAGGATTAAAGGGTGGGCTCAGTTGCACACATACTGTGTCTCACCTAAAAAAATCCAGTGCGCAGGCTGGAAGGTGTAAAGACCTTCCCCGGTTCTTCGTTCGCGAAGACTGGCTATTACATTTACATTACATCGCAGTTAAAACTTGCTCGTGAGGGGAAGCAAAGGGGCAGGTACCGTCTCCTCTCTCTGTTGGCCACTGACAGGACCTGAGGGAATGGCGTGAAGGTGAGCCGGAAGACGTTTTGGTTAGATACTAGGAAAAAAGTTATTCTCTCAAAGGGTGGTTGAGCGCTGGAAAAGGCTCCCTAGGGCACTGGTCATGGCACCAAGCCTGACAGAGTTCAAGAACCATTTGGACAACGCTCCCATGCACATGGTGTGACTCTTGGGATGGCCCTGCGCAAGGCCAGGAGTTGGACTCGATGATTCTGACGAGCCTCTTCGGACATCCCGTAAGCTCCCTTTACATCCCCTCCGCCTCTCAAGGGCGGCTGAGGGGTACGGGGGGAGGGCGGAGCGGCGCGGGGCGCCCGCCCGGTGCAGGCACCGCCCGCCGGGTCACAGAGCGCGGCCGCTGCGGAGCGTCCAGCGGGGCGGCGCGGGGCGGGCGCCCCCAGCGGCCGGGCGGTGCTGCGCTGTGAGGGGCCGTGCGGGAGGGGAGGGGAGGGGAGGCGGGCCCGGGCCGTGCGGGAAGGCGGTGCCCGCCACAGCCCAGCGTTGCTGGGGCTGCACGGCCCCGGTGCCGCCTCAGCGGAGCCGGGCCGGGCCGCGGACAGGGTGGGTGAGCGAGGCAGCGGCTGCGGCCGCGGCGGGGCGGAGAGCGGCGGGCGGGCCGCCGGGGAGGCGGGGAATAGCGGTGCGGGCGGGCCCGCGGGGGAGCGGCGGCGCGGGCGGGCGGGTGGGTTTGGGCGCTACCTGGGCCATTACCGCCGCCGCCGCCGCCCCGGGCCCGGGGGGTCCCCGCAGCGGCTCCTCTGCCCCGAGGGGTTGGGGCGGGCTCCGTGTTTTGCCGGGCTCCCGGCGTGTGGTGTGGCACCTGCCGCAGGAGCTGGGCCCGGGCCGGGCGCTGCAGGAGGCGGCGGGGGTTTGGGCGCGGGACACTGCAGGGCAATGGCCGGTGGGTCTCCTGCTCTTTTTGCTCTTCCAGGTCTGCCGGGATAGCAGGAAACATCCTTTGTGTCACAGGAGCCTCTCCAGATGGCCCAGGAGGCTTTAGCATCTTGGCGTGTCCTGTGAGGCGCGTTACCTCGTGTCTCCCTGCCATCAGTAAGTGGTGCCCAGCAGTGTGTGGGTTCCGAGCACAGCCAACACCCAGCTTTCATTTTCCTGCAGGTGGTAGCTGCTTGACGGGATTGGGGTTGGTTATGCTGGAGTGCAGAGGAGAGGCCGGGTGGATGGTGGAGAAGTTGAGTTGGAAATACCTCCAATAGTGCTTTCCCCACCATGAGGAAGGATCCAGTGTACTTAAACTTATCCTTGACAGACATTTCCTTAATTGGCTCTTACAGATTATGAAATTCATGGAGTGCCTTCCCCCCACTCCCCAAGGTAACCTGCTTCGATGCTTAGCTATCACTTATCGTCACAATTTTTCCTTAATAGCTGACCTAAATCTTTGCTAAAACTAAGCTGATTATTATCTTGCACTATCCAGAGTATACCTGGAGTACAATGGATCCATGTGCTCCTGTCAGCAGGCTGATGGGTGTTCTCAAGTTTCCACTTACAATCTTCACTCACTCTCTTCCCATATCTGTCTGGTCCCTGAGCTCTGTTAGGCATTTCCATCATCCTTGGACTCAGAAGTATGTGCAGTACTCCAGTGGAAATGCTGTTAGCAGTGTGGAAGAGGGGTAATTATCTGCCTTGTGTATGGCATCCCTCATAAAAACATTCCAGAATGATTCTGTTTCTCACATTACTGATACATTTAATTTGTGATCCACTGTAAGCCAGATCCTTTTTTGCTATACATCTACTTAGGAGATTATTCCTGAAGAGGCATCCAAGTTGGTGTTTTTTTTTTTTCCTTTGCTAAGTATATTATTTTGCATTTGTTATTAGTCTAAGAAGAAGTTATCTTGATCAACATAACAACTTTCTTTGCAATTTTAGTCTTTGAAATTCACTCTTGCAATCCTCTTCCTCCAAATTTAGGATCATCCACCAATAGTTAATTAAAATACCAAGTGGTGCCAGGCCCTGCATTTTGGGATAAGCTCTCCCAGTTTGAAAATTTGACTTTCTCAAACACTTCTTGTTTTTTATGCTTCCCACTAGAGCTGCAACTCATTCTGTGCCCTGGCTTTGCAATTGTGCCAAATCCTATGGAGAATCTTAAGTGAGGAAACCAAGATTCCTTTGAATTGGCTTTTATGCTCAGAGTGTGCTCAGCTGCGCTCTGTGAGCTCGCAGCACACAGAAATACATATAAAATCCCAAACTTTTCTAAAGTGTTGGTGCCTTGTCTATGGTTTTTTAAAAATTCTTTTCTCATTAATTTCCTCAGAAAAATCTGCTTTGATCCAAACTTTCTTCCACACTGCATTTGCTTTTTTAGAGAGCTTTCTGGAATAAACATGCCTCGTTCTCACATGCTTAAGACAGGATCAGATTTGTAGATAATACATTAATGCTTGGTTATACTTGTAAGGGATTACTTCATCTGATCACAAATGGTCCGTGAAGTTGAGAGCCAGAGGTGATGTTTTGAGAATTGTTAATACTGAAGTAAATCAGAAAATATTCTGGGAACAGCAACTTACTGATTAGAATGAAAGGACTGGTGTTGCGATGAAAATGCAGCAGAAATCTGGCGGTAAGGCTGTGCAAACAGCAAAGTTTCTTTCTCTTAAAATTGCCTTTCACTGTGGAAATATCATAAACTAAAAATTCTAGGGTTTGGTAACTAAGCATGGATGAACATTATATGTACATTGACTTCACTGGAAGGATGAGTCCAGCGTTGGCAGGATCAGAAGCTGAGTAATCATACAGGTTGTCCTCTGTCCTCTACAATAGTTTCTTTTTATTTCTCGTCCTAATTTTTTCAGATGTCTCACTTTAAAAATCATGGAGCTGGGAAAGGCAAAGCTTCTGCGAACCGGCCTCAATGCCTTGTGCCAAGCAATCCACCCCGTGCACGGGCTTGCTTGGACGGACGGGAAGCAGGTGATCCTGACCGCGTTACACCTTCACAATGGGGAGCCCAAATTCGGTGACTCGAGCGTTTTTGGTCAGTTTGAGCACGTCCATGGGCTGTACTGGGGCCCGTGTGCCCCCGAGGCCCCAGCCCTGCTCACGGTGCAGCACAAGAAGCACATCACCATTTGGCAGCTCTGCTTCAGCGGCGCCGATAGGAGCAACCTCCTGGTGTCTCAGATCTGCGACATCAGCGAGCCGTACCCCGTGCTGCCCCAGGGCTGCGTGTGGCACCCCAGCAAGCAGGTCTTGGCCGTGCTGACCACCCGGGACGCCTCCGTCTTACCCTCCGTCCACCTCAACAACTCCAGAATTAGCGCGGAGATCAAAGGCAGCGGCCTCGTCCACTGTGCCTGTTGGACCAAGGAAGGAAATCGCCTGGTTGTGGGGGTGGGCAGTGCCCTTCACTCCTACATTTGGGATGATGATCAGAAAACACTGAATGCTTGTTCTTTCTGCCCAATCTTTGATGTGGGAGGCTACATCTGTGCCGTGGAGGCGACGCAGAATTTCCAGGTTGCCGTTGCCACTGAGCTCCCTCTGGACAAGATCTGTGGCTTAAATGCTGGTGTTGCATTTGAAGTTCCGTCGAGCGTTGAAACCGAGTCCTTCCCCTCTCAGTCCAGCTTGTGCGGG